TGCACACGTGTGTGAACTGGAGATGGTAGAGCTGCCGTGGGTGCACACGTGTGTAAACTAGAGATGGTAGAGCTGCCGTGGGTGCACACGTGTGTGAACTGGAGATGGTAGAGCCGCCGTGGGTGCACACGTGTGTGAACTGAGATAGATGGAGCTGCCGTGGGTGCACACGTGTGTGAACTGGAGATGGTAGAGCCGCCGTGGGTGCACACGTGTGTAAACTGGAGATAGATGGAGCCGCCGTGGGTGCACACATGGGCCTTTGAGGCTGGCGTGGATACGCCCAGCATCTCACTCCATTTGGGTTTGTTCTCCTCAAGTCTATGCAAGATATTAAAGCTAGTCTTTAATGGTTGTGTTTTCTTGTACATTTCTCATTTCAAAAACCCTGTACTTCTTAAGAGCTTCATAATTTTAGCTTACTGATGTGCATTAGTAAGTACTTGATTGGAATAAATCAATACATATAGGCAAAACCTGGTCATAGGCCTCAGAATCACACAAATCTATAGCACGCCCTTTAACGAGGAGCTACTCCACTTGCCACTGGTTGCCTTCTTTTAGTTCGCTGTGAGGTATGGGTACCTTACTTCCCTTTTAGCAGTTAGAACTGGGGAAGGTTCTGGAAGGGAACTGCGCATGCCACAGTCGACCTGAGATCTGACGGTGGATCCAGCAGTGGTGTCTCCTGCTCTACTCGGTGAATTTGGGTACTGAGAGGGCTTCCGTTCTCATGCATACGTTAAACAGTAACATCTTTCTGTTGTCCTCCTCTCTCTCTCCTCCCTGTCTTAGAGCATACTCCTTCCACGTCAGTGCAGAAGGCCAGATGCAGCCTGTCCCCTTCCCCCCCGACGCCCTCATCGGACCCGGAATCCCACGGCACGCCCGGCAGATCAACACGCTCAACCACGGGGAGGTGGTGTGCGCCGTGACCATCAGTAACCCCACGAGGCACGTGTACACGGGCGGCAAGGGCTGCGTCAAGGTCTGGGACATCAGCCACCCTGGCAACAAGAGCCCCGTGTCCCAGCTGGACTGTCTGGTGAGCGAGCGCGCGTGACTGCCTCAGGGAACAGGAAAGAATGGTGTGTGCCCTGCCACGTGTGCGCTGGGCTACAGGAGTCATCCCAAGGGGGAAGCTGGGCTTCCTCTCAGGGCGGGTCTTCTGTTGGTTCCTTGAAGCCAGAACAGCCCAGTTCTTTCTGTGTGGCACATGCACCTGTGATGGTGCACAACTCTGTCTCCAGAAGCAAAAGGCAAAAACACTTGTGTGTCTCTGAAAGGTTTTGAAAACTAAGAGTTTGCACATGGTTTCTATGCAAGTGAATCTACAAGTCTCATGCAGAGAGTACTAAATATTCGCTGTAACAGATACTAGAAACCCCCTTAAGCTGATCTACTGGCATTTGTCCTTGAGTTTCCTAGGAATTTTAGCCCAGTTTTCGTCGTTTGTATGCACCACGAGAGTGGCTGCCGCTGCTGCCTTTAACAATTAAATGTAGATGAGGTATCCCCCCCACCCTCATTTTTTCTTGGTACCTGTCCTTGGGTTTGATGAACTCAAGTTCTAGAAGCTGTTCCCTAAGCTTTTTTTGCTAAAGGCTAGCTCTACCACTTGATCCACAGCTCCACTTCCAGTTTTTTGTTGGTGTTTGGTTTGGTTTGGTTTATTTACTTATTTATGTGTGTGTGGTTGATTGGAGCTAAGAGGCTCATAGACTTTCCTGCCTACGCTGGTTTTGAATCATGATCCTCACATCTCAGCTTCCTGAATCGCTGGGAATAACAGGCATGAGCCATGGGCACCCAGCTCAAGATGACCTCATGAGCAGAGCAGAGGCTGTGTTCTGCTTTCCCTGTCACTGTATAGTACAGCTTGAGTCTTCCTTCTAGCTAACACCGCTTCTCTGAACTCCATGATGCCTTGGAATCCTGTATTAGAACTGGGCACAGAAAAAGGAGCAGATTGCCAGATGTCTTGAACCCTGACCACCTCTTTGACTATAGTAATAGGACCCTTGTGCTGCAGCAGAATGAACCAGAGACCCGTGATGTGAGCCCCTGCCTTAGTCCGCTTGTAGATCCATTTGTGCAGATGACACAAGCATTTGGTTGATTGGGTGGTGTTGCGAGTGAGTCTAGATTATTCCATTCTGATACTAATTAAGATTAAATATCTCAGTGCCAAATTTTGAACATCGAGCTTAAGTACTTCCTTAATTTCATGTAATTTTCAAGCATTAATCTACTTTGTCATTGTCATAAGTATAAATGGCTCATTAAACTGGGAGGGAACACAATACTTTTATGGATTTCTGCTCTCATGTTAATGCTGTTTTTCTTTCCCCATGAGTAATCCCTTGATGGTTTTGTCTCTACAGAACAGGGATAACTACATCCGTTCCTGCAGATTGCTCCCGGATGGCCGGACGCTCATTGTGGGCGGGGAAGCCAGCACCCTGTCCATCTGGGACTTGGCGGCTCCAACCCCACGCATCAAGGCGGAGCTGACGTCTTCGGCCCCCGCCTGCTACGCCCTGGCCATCAGCCCCGACTCCAAGGTCTGCTTCTCCTGCTGCAGCGACGGCAACATCGCCGTGTGGGACCTGCACAACCAGACGCTGGTGAGGTAGGTCAGCAGAGCCGGGCTCCAGACCGTGAGGAGATGCTGATCTTCCCATGTCGGGTGACCGTGCACTCACTGTATGGGAACGTGTGTTTCTAACTTGACGGAATACAATTTATCTTACTAAAAGCTGTTAAGAACAGATCCATTGTAGGATGCTGCCAATGAATTACTAATGTAAAAATCTGTTTTCCACACTATTTATACTTCATAGAATGAAGAGGCTTGTTTTCCTTTTATTCCTAGCACACACGAAACATCATCAATTCACATTATTAAAAAGGAGGCCAGTTTGGCATGACCGTAGGAGATCATTAGACATCTAGAAGTTACATGTGTGCTTGCTGTCCATAGAGACTCATTGAGAGCCTCATCCTGCACGGTTCTATCTAGGTAGCTTGTGTATCTGAGAAGTCACTCTTACCAAATCTGTGTTTATGTAGCATTTACCAACGGTCCAGGAACTACTTGGGGCTGCTCCGTCAGCAGTGGTTCACACTGTCTCAAGTCTAATATGTAAGAACATTGAGGCATAACCGTGATGCTTCTTTAGAAATGATATTGAATAGGTTCAGCGTTGGGAGGTAAAACCATCCAAACAGTCCCTGCTACCCACACTTAAGAGATTGGCAAGAGGTCAGCAAGAAAGAAGTATGGTCAGCTGAAAGATAAGTTGGTTTGTAATCAACCCTGCCAGGCAAGATGAGCATGTCTAAAGAGAAGAGGTCTTTGTGCTCCACATCTTATTTTTGAAGAGCCAAGCTCTGTCCTGGGTTCCAGACACGACATTTTTATTGTAACATTCCTTGGAGGAGCCACTTGACCGCCTTCCCTTGGTGCCCTAGGTACATCTCACCAGACATGGCTTCCGGATCCGCAGATCACACGGAGTGTCCGTCCACGTGCCTTTCTTGAGAGGCTGCCCTATCCCATCACCCTGCAGCCCCGCCCACAGAATACATACATTTGGTCATTATTTTAAATAAGTAGAGAACATAAACCAACGTGAAATCTGTAACACCAGCTGCCAAGGACATACAGATTGACCTCCACTAAAAACTAGCTCTTGAAGGTTCTCCCTGTGTTTCAGGCAATTTCAGGGCCACACAGATGGCGCCAGCTGCATTGACATTTCCAACGATGGCACCAAGCTCTGGACGGGGGGTTTGGACAACACGGTCCGGTCCTGGGACCTGCGCGAGGGCCGGCAGCTGCAGCAGCACGACTTCACCTCCCAGGTATGGCTGGCTGTGTGCCTTCCGTGTGAGCAGTTTCGGGCTCGGCGTGGTTGTAATACTGGGCTTTGAATCCAGGGGACTTTTGTTGGGCAGGCTTGCCTCCAGCCACAGTCCTCTGGCTTGCAGACTCCTGGTTAGCTACCATTAAGAGTCGGTGTTGAGTGGAGATGTAGTGAGAAAGGGGGATACTGACTGGATCCCTTTGGGGGTCACCCATTTGTCTTGGGTTTCCCGTACAGTTCAGATTCTGAGTAGAACCCCCAAGGAGACTGGACCTCCTGGTGAAAAAGAAAATCCGTCCACTGTAGCCACCACCACCTGTTTGAATCCTAGATCTTTTCCCTGGGCTACTGCCCGACTGGAGAGTGGCTTGCGGTGGGGATGGAGAACAGCAATGTGGAGGTGCTGCACGTCACCAAGCCCGACAAATACCAGCTGCATCTTCACGAGAGCTGCGTGCTGTCGCTCAAGTTCGCCCACTGTGGTGAGCAAGCCCCTTTTGTTCATCTTCTGTCAACCCACAGTCCTTCCTTCTGTCCCCTCCTGATGATTCCTGCCGAGCTGGGTTCTTTAGCTCATTAACACATTCCTCTTCGGAACCGGAGTGCCTCCTAAATCCTGCTTGCCTTCCGCAAGCTCTGGCGTCAGTCTGCTCTACCCTGATCCCAAATACAAGCAATTCATTAACCCAGAAGGATGGGCTTCTGACGCAACAGATACTCTTGTTTTGTTGGTGGATTGAGTGATCTGGCGTTGTATAAAGTCATTCCATGCGTCTCACGAAGTAACACAGCATTATTACTGTATCTCTTCATAAAACTCTCTTCCTAGGCAAGTGGTTTGTGAGCACGGGAAAGGACAACCTTCTGAACGCGTGGAGGACACCTTACGGGGCCAGTATATTCCAGGTAACACCTGCTTGCTTCGTGTGCCCTTGCTGTGTGCCAGCCATGGTGTCTCTGTGCCCGGCTCGGATGAGCAGTGCCCTGGGGTGTGCTGGAAGGGGGCTGGGCCAGTGCCCATCCCCAGGGGAGGTGCAGCAGCACAGCCTCCTGTCCCAGGTCCCCGGCTCTGCCTGCTCAGCGGAGGCTGGGGGTCCTGCGGGAAGCCGTATGTTAAGATGATCGTCAAGCACTTTGCGTAAATACTCAGTACTAGTAACTGTTCTTGGGTAGTTTTGTCTTTTTGCCAAAGAAGACTTACAGAGCAGTTGTCGCTTACTGATTGATGGAGAGACTTTTCCTTCCTATTGACCCAATGAAATTTTTATCTACTTTTTGTGAAAGTTATTTATCAAAGAGTATGGTAATCACCACGTGCGTGCACGTGCACACACACACACAAAATCTCATCTCCACTATGACTTCTGTGAGCATTTTATAGGCAAGCGAAATCTTTTTTCAATCTCCTTTATTTCCAATGCTATTATCTGGTGAGCTATCTTTAGGGATAACGTAGCACACTTGCTACTTTCCTTAACCAAGTGTCATTATGTCCTCATAGAATAGGCGGAGTAAAATCCAAATATATTTTTGTAGACTGGGAAAATACCTGAAGAATCGTCACTAGGACAAAAATAGCTGGTTGGTCCTATCATGACACTTACAGTTTCATACAGCGTTTTTCCTGCTGTGAACCACAGCCTGTCAGAGAGCGTTCCAGTGAGCTGATGAAATCCAGTCATGGAGTTAGAGTTCAAGGCCTCAAGCTCCCTTGGCTTGAGTGCTTATCTTCCAGCCTGGCATCTTACTGGTTAATTTGGCGTCTCATGGACTTTTCTGCCTGGACTGGCTTAGAACATTGATTCTCCACACCCCAACCCGGCTCCTAAGCAGCTATGACTGTAGACGTGCCCTCCAGGCACTCAGACCGACCATCATTGTTTAAACAAGTGAAAGTGAAAATATGTGAGTGTGTCTTTATAGTGAGCACATCTCATCATAGATTGGATTACAAATTCAAATTATTCTGAGTTTCAGTTTTTAAAGGAAGTTTGGGAATGGATTAGCCAGTGCATGTCATACATTGATTTTTAAATTTTTGCAATTATTTTTCAGAGTCCTGGTGTAAGTCCCGCAGGGTTTTTGTTATTGTTGTGAAGTTTTGTTTTTGTTTTTGTTTTTATTTAATGGGTACAGTTCAGATAAAACTCGAACCTTTTGTAGTTGAGTACTGTGCAAATCACTCAGGAATGGTACATTTCTTTCCGACTCCTTCACTCCCCTGCCTGCACGTTTGTGTGACGCTTATACCCTTGGAGTATTTTCACATTCTGTATCCCAGAACAACCACAACAGAACACCTCTGTTGTGCTTTGAAAGCTGCTTCCCCCATTCCTCTCCTTGGTCGCTTGTGACGCCCTGCGGGGTGGAGGAAGGCCAGCGACCATTCCTGGCCGCCCAGGCTCAGACAGGGCAGTGATGAGTGATGTGTGCACTTAGCGCAGCACTCCTAGACCAAGCCTTCCCACGCTGAGGTTCCCGCAGCCCCGACACCCTACTCTGCCCTAGAGAATAGACAGGCCTCGAAGCCCAGCCTAGACTCAGCGGCCCCCGGGTGCCCCTGCCACCGGCTGGCATACCCAGGGCCAGCGCGCTGCGGCTGAGCTGCTGGAGGACCTTCCGCCGTGGTCCCTCGGTGCGGCGCTGCCGGGGTGAGAAGGGCCCCGCCGTCCCTGCTGCCCGGCTCCTCCCCCAGCTCCTCCAGCCCTGCCTCTCAGCACTGGCCGCCTTGCTTTCTCTGTCTCACCTGTGTTTGTCATGTCTCCTTCCAGTCCAAAGAATCCTCGTCGGTGCTTAGCTGCGACATCTCTGTGGATGACAAATACATCGTCACCGGCTCCGGGGACAAGAAGGCCACGGTCTATGAAGTTATTTATTAAGGACAAATCTTCATGCAAACTGGACTCCTTGTAGCACTTTGCTCTGTCATCCTTTTTTTGTTGAAACCACCCCACCCCCACCCCTGCATCTAAAACCAAGGATTTCCAAATATTCATTGCAGTTGTGGAGATTAATCCTTCTCTCTAACCCGTTCCCTCCTTGCTATTGAATTGTGAATACTCATTAAGAACCTGTGATACCAAATCTTCAGCTATCTACTTGGAAGAACATGGAATAAGCATACTTAACAGTGAATGGAATCTTTAATTATGTATTATATCTGTAATATATTTATTTTGTTTAAAGAAGGCTTTCTAACAATGACTGACTAAATAAAGCTGTCTGCTCCTGCATTGATGATGAAGGTGCATTGTATTTGATACCCCTCCCCCCCTTTTTTTGCTAAAGGAGGGGAAAGGAAGGCTTAAAATAGCTGATTTAAAATAGTCGCTAAATGTAGACTATTGACTGTATAGAGAAGTGAAATGTATAATTACACATGGAAGCAATATGTTGCTGTGTTGTTATTAGGATTTTGTTTCGGTTTCTGTTTTGGGTTTCCACTTCTTCTGAAGTCGTTCCAAAATTTGGCTGAACAATTTCAACTTGACCAGCCAAGACATACTCATTCGAGTCTGTTTTGGACAACTTTAACAAATAGATCTCTAGCTTTAGATTATACTCGATAAAAGGAATTGGATGCTTCTTTTTTCCTCTTTTTATTTTTTGACCTGTTGACAAGTGTCTGTAATATGTTTTTAATTCCCTTTTTTTTATTGTATTATAGACAGACGAACAAATTAAATTGGGCCTCAAAGAGAGAACTTAATCCCTTCTGGTTATTTTTGCCACGTTATTTTGCAGAGGGAGTTGTGTATCTTGGGGCAGTTTTGTTCTGAGGAATTATGGGCTATTTTGTGGCATGCTCTTGGGGAGCTGCACCAATAGGGAAAGGACTCCCGCCGCTGAGCAAGTCAAGCCTTGCACAAAACAAGGACTGCAGGGGAGGGCCTGCGGAGGCCTCCCTCTGAAAGACACAAAAGAGCGGAGCGTGACTCTGCCAGGATGAGGACTGGCTTTCGTACCTCCGGTTCTTTCCATGTTGTAGTTGGATGTCCCTGAAATGGACGCAGGCTGTGCCATTGTGCCAGAGACATTGTGTTTTCTTTTATGTTGTTGTTGTTGCTGTTAAACTATAATATGTGACTCCTTTTTTTTTATTATTATGTTTTGTTTGAATGCTTTAAAAAAATCTTTTTAAGTCTGTGGATCTGCTGATGTACAGTGCCTTTGCTGCTATGGATGAACATCAAAAGAACCGTGTAGATAAACTTTATTGTGTAAGTAGAAAATGACTTAATTTCATACTAGACATGGGTGGCTGCTGCAAGCTGAAGTGGGCGTGTCCATTGGCGTTCCTAATGTGGTAGCAGAAAACAAAATGGTGTCTTAAGTGCTTAGTGTTTGATGTCATTAACAGTTTCGTAAAACTCTACAGTGTAGAAAGATTTTGATACTAAACTGTGCATTGTACATAGTTCTAATGCATTGTATTGACCACCAGTGCTTCTATAACAGTAGATTGTTTGTGCATTCAGACTTTTAAGCATTAAACACAAATAACTTCTAGTATGCTTATTTTTCTAATTCTTTGTTTTTATTGGCTTTAGTTTATTACCTTTGGCCTTGCCGCTCTTCTATATTAAAAATTACTAGTTATATTTATGGTAGGTAGGTGTTAAGCAGCTTGGGTTTTATAGTGTGAATTTTGCTTGTCTCTATTTTCACATGAGGTTAAGCTAGAAAGGATAAGATTTTTAAAAATCATCAGGTTGTTCTCCGATATTTATGAAGCATCTCTTTATTTATAAACTGCTGTTCTGCCCCTTGGTGCTTGGGAGGCCAAAATCAGGGAGACCGTGGTTTGAGACGAATCCTGGTAAAAGGGTAGGCAGACTTTGTCTTGGCCAAGCAAGTTGGGTGTGCCAGTGTACACTTGTCATACCAGCTACGAGGTAGAAGGATCTACGTAGGTAAAAGGATCACTGTCCAGGCAAAAATGTGAGCAATTATTCAAAAAGCAAAGCGTAAAGGGCTGGGGACACGGCTTCGAGTAGCCTTGACTTTGAAACCTCACTACCACCAGCAGGGAAAATAGGTTATGTATGGAAAAGTTGCCAGACCACTCTCAAAATCTTCCTCTTTGGGGGCTGTACTGTTCAGTCTGGTCGTTAGTGGCTGTCCCAACGTAATTGTGAAAACTAAAATTAGAAATCCAGTCCATCAGCAACACGACCTCCATTCCAGATGCTCTGCTCGCGGCCCTTCTACTGGACTGAACAGATTGCTGGACGATGTCACTCGCTGCCCAGCATGCTGGCGGACCAGTCCTGCTTTCAGAGTTCATCCTGCATGTGCGTGTCAGCAGCCTTTCTGTGTAACACACCCTGGGGAACAAATGGGTTTGTTAAAATACAGCCAAGGAGGAATGTCAAAGAATTTCAAGTTCTGGGACCCAAATGTCTGGATTTTTAGAGAATTGACCAGGGCAGTCCTCCAGCAGTGCTCTTCCGTTTGGGCCAACAGTCCCGTGTGCCCCGCTGAAGCATGGAGCGCTGAGACGTGACAGGGTATAGCAGAGACGAGGGCCGGCGGTTCTCTGCAGAGGTGGAGCGCCGGGTTCGGGGCATGCACTGTTGGTGTGAGGAAGATGGTGTTGAGCTTCATCTCCTGCTCAGAGGGCCCAAGATCGCAGCTTGCTTTCCACAGCTCGTTTCCTGTGTGGGTTCCAAAGATGTGGGAGCCAAGAGGAAAAGCAGATGTCCCCAGGGGCTCTCTCCTGAGAGCTTTTCTTTCCTCCCCTGGGACACGCAGCGGGCCCCCACCCCGTCCCAGCCTGCGCGTGCTCACCGTGGTCTCTGCTGCCTAGCCGCTCGCCGGGTAGTGAACATAGAAATCGCACTTCTGTCCGTTTTTTAGATATCCCTTCACCGATTCGTATGTACCTTTACTAAGACTTTTTAAAAGGGTAATACATCTTTGGAGTAAACATGACTGGAACACAGAAAGTGTGATTGTAGGCATTGTTGTGATGCCCCGAAGAAAAGTGTCTTTATTCTTGTGTTTCTGATGAGTCGAAGATGACGATAATCCACAGTTCCTTTAAAAATGATCCAAGAGCTGGAACTGGAGGTGTAGCTTAGTAGAGTGCCAGCCTTGAGTAAAGAAGCTAAGCAAGAGTGAGGCCCTGAGTTCAAGCTTCAGTACACGCACCTCATATATACACACACACACATATATATACACATACACAGTACACGCACCTCATATATATGTATATATATATATACACATAGTATACGCACCTCATGTATACATATATATACACACACACACATATATATATATATATACACACATACACACATAACCAAAAGTTGGTTTTTGAACTTGACTTTTTAAAAAAAAATTTGAGTAGATAATAACTTTTGAAATAAATGGGGCTCTGTTCTGTTAAGCAGTTTTTATATCCGTACAGAAGCCTGAGGCATGGTTGACGTGCACAGAAGTCTCCATGTTTTCACTGCAATTACTTGGGCTTGGGAGAACACCCCACGAGAGCAGCCTGTGCATGGCGAGTGACGTCCTGGGTTCAGTCTCGTGCCAAAATGGAAAAGCTAATTACTTGAACTTAGTTCTCGGACATAGTTTTTACTCCAAGAATGGTCTTAGAGTGTGAGAAAGAGCAAAGATTGGAATTACCCTGAGCCAGGAAATACTCATTTCCAGTGGGAGAAGAGAGCGGCGTAGAGAATTGAATAGAACCGTCAGGATGGTAGAAGGGACCCCAGATGCAAGAGATCAAGCCTGGAGCCATGACTCACACCTGCAATCTGAGAAGCTCAGGAAGCTGAGATCTGAGGACAGAAGTTCAAAGCCAGCCCTTGCCGACAAATCCAATTAAACAGCAAAAGGTCAGGACTGGAGGCTTAGCTGAAATGGTCAAGCACCAACGGCGGGGAGGGGAAGCTGAGGAAGAGCAAGAGCCTGGCCCACTTAGAGGTACACAACAAAGACAGCACTCAGGCCTTCTGTAGGCTAGCAGATAATGGAGAACAGCCAACGCCCAAGATTTTCTCAGCTACACACTTGACTTTGGTCATTACAAGGTGACTTTCTGGTTGGAGGATTTCAAAAGATCCGGCTCCTGGATTGCAGTGTGTGGAGACTGGTTTCAGTCCTGCAACACCTATGCGTGCTCGGGATTCCCACCCTGGGGCACCTAGAAACTCCAGTTTCAAACCATCTCAAAGCCTTCAAATGCTCTGACCCTGCAGTCAGTATCTTGTCCCTCAGGCAGAGACGGGGTACCATTGTGGGAGAGCTGCGGTGCACATGCAGGCCTTCCCGTCCCTGAGCTCGCCTTCCCTTCAGCTGTTGCTTCCACGACTCCGTCTTTCACCTCAGGTCTTGCTCTCAAGCCTTTAGAGACAATGTCGTTGACTGGCAGTCGGTGCTGTCCCAAGGAAGTCCGCTCTGAGAGCCCGCTTCGGGCACTGACTTGAGGAATGACCAACAGTCCTGCGATGCACCGGTGTCTGCAGCCGTCTGCTCCTGTCTGGGTACCGTGCAGGGTTTCGACAATGCAACTCCGCGTGCAGCCGCTTCTCGGGGGCCTCAGCCGGCTCCGTGTCTCCTGGTGCAGTCCTTTCGAGTCCCCTTCCACGCGGACGCGGGAATGGCATTTTGGATGACCTGGACACATCAGAGGTCCTCTTCTAGCAGAGGACCCGAAGAGCATGCAACCTAACGCGCAGCTGGAAGCGGCCCTTCCCTTACAGGAGGCATGTCCGTCTCAGGGTTTTTAGTCTGGGTTTTGTTGATTGTTGGGTTTTCATTGGGGGGAGGGAGGAGAGGAGACCTCGCAGGTCACAGACAGACAGAGGTCCTCCTACACTGCCTCCCGAGCAGGGACCTCCGCGCTGGGACCTTAGAGAGACGCTCAGCCAGTTGCCCTGGGTTCCTAGAGCCTTGAACAGGAGGGTTTTCACTGAGGCCCCGTTTGATCTCGCAGCAGGGTTAGACCAGGTGGATGGCAGAAAACTGAGTTTACTGAGAAGAACACCAAGGAGTGGAAGAGAGCGGTGAATGACCCGCATCCCTGTCTCCCCAGGGGCACCGGCGGACCTGGAGCCCAGGTCGCCTGGCGCGCAGTGCGGTTTGGCAGATTGGCACGGCGGCGGAAAGCCAGGGAAGGCAGCCTCTGCCGCCTCCCGTGTGGCTGAAAGGAGTTCAAGCAGGCAGACCGGCTACTTTGGAACATCACACAGCCTCCTAAGGAAAAAGGAAAGCAAAGGAAGCCTCCAGGTGTCTCCGTGCCCCGTGCACTGCGACCCTGCCACGGACTAATGTAGTATAGACAATGCCAAGCCTCGCTGGCCCGAGCGCTGAAGTCTCCTGCTTGCAGTCCTTACTGGATGCTGCTGCTGCTGCTGCTGCTGCTGCTGCTACAAGTCTAGGCTCCTTGGCTGGGTGTGGTATCATGGGGCACAAAGTGTGAGTTGAAACGGAAGGCTGTTTTTATCATTCTTCCTCTGAGGCTGGGAAGTTTGCAGCAGGGACAAAGCCAAGGGTAAAAACACCGCGGCCTGTGTGATCCTGAGAACTCCAGGTCGGGATGGTGCCCTTTTTCCTGTGGGCCAGGAACGCAGAAGGACCGGGAGAGACCCTCGCTGAAAACACCCCAAGGAAGGAGGGAGTCCCTGGAACACAAGCAGAGGAAGTTTTCTCATAGAATCACGGATCACTATTTGAAGACCTTCAGTCCAGATCACCTCTTTTTTTTTCTTTAATTGTCAGGGTGATGTAGAGAGGAGTTCCCGTTACATACGTCAGGGAGGGAGCGCATTTCTTGTGAACATGGCTACACCTCACCAGCTCCGTAGAGACATACTCCCTTAAATAACCCGGGGGGCGGCGTGGTGACACGTTGGGAAGTAATGCCATAAGCCAAAAGCAGAGAAAAGCAGCACTGCTGCCCTCGCCCCCCAGAAGCCTGCCAGGCCTCCCTGGGTGAAGGAAACAAGACGGCCTTTCTGAGTTCATCACCAGTTGCATCCTGTTCTTAATCTCAATCAGACACTCATGGCTACTCTTGTTTTCCTCTAAGTAGGCAATGAGTTAATGAAATAGCCCCTCTCTGTGTGGGGTTTGAGGCACCCACGTTTCAGTGAGGAGGAGAGCATCCCCAGACCCAGAAGGCCGACAGTGGAAAAGGCGTTGGTCCACGGGCCCTGGTTTGCACCATCTGTCTTCATCTCGGAGCTCACGGGCCCCGGGGAGAATTGTAGGGTGAGCACCGAAAGCCAGCCAGGCTCTCCAGGGAGAGGCGGGGCTGCAGCCCTGGCTGGGCTCTGCAGACACCTGCTTCCGGCCTTCCGTGCAGCCCTGGGGCTGAGCTGAGTCGCCAGCTTGGCCGCCGACCCCTGCTGGTCCTCAGCCCACCCGCAGCCCTTCCCAGCTCCCTCTCTGCGGCATTCTGCATATTTCTCCAGAGACGGGCCCTGTGATCTTCACGCTCCGTGTCCTTAGGCTTACAAACCTCGTTCATTCAGCCCCGACCACAGAGC